TCACTCGATACTCATCACAGAACGAAGTTGCTGCTACTGTATATTAAAATGTCCCCGTTAAGTAAGCGTTTTAGTCAAAAAACTACAACTAAAAATAAAATATGCAATGAAATGTGCAAATAGACATATTATTAAACTGTTTATTATTAACGAAATCGCTTTGTATCGTTGCGTTGTGCCCATAAAATTTGATTAAAGTGTGCTGTTCATTATAATTGGATAAAGCGGAACAACTTGCTTTCCAATAGTGATTTGCCGGATATCCGTACTCGCGATATCCGAAGCAGGCGATAGAATCTATCTATCGGATAGATCTTTAATATCAGCTATTTTTAGGTGGACCTCGAACGGGATTTTAATAATAACAAATTTCTTAATTATTAGAAGATTGGGAAGCTAGGAAATATTCAAATCCATTTTAAATGTTATTTATTAATGTAAATCACTATATTTCGCCCAATTGACAAAAAATCAAATTGTTAATTCTGTTATACCAATCCCTAAACTTAATCCTTATAGCATTTTTGACCGTTTTTTGGTAAAGTCATATAAATTAAAAAATTTCCAAACGTAAATTAGCTCCGTTGTTAAACTATCATGAATGAACTAAAATAAGGTCTTAATAATTAAATTAGTTTCAAATTGATATGATATAATTTACTTATTAATATTGGTAAGAATTGTAAAAATATTATGGTCCGTATTCGATTTTGTGTCAAAAAAGAGAATGATCCGTATCCGCGGATATATTGCTAACCATCCGGCACATCTCTACTGGCCAAGCACCCAGTCTTGCTAAAGCCAAAACATCAATTTAATTCGGCATTACAACAGTTAAGTGGTTTGGGTGATCATTCGCTATAAAAACTAAACCAATTTGCTCTACTATAAGAATGCTTGTCTAATTATGTATTGCGGAGGAATGAGTTAATAATTTAAATGTTAGGTAACTTTTTTTCAATTAGTTAATTACGTCTTCGATTTTAAGTAAGCGATTCTAAATGGTGAACTATAGATGAATTGGAGATACGAATGATCAAATTTATATAAATACCCAGTTCATAAAAAGGAATCGTAATTTGAATGAATACTTAAAATTTGGAAAAATAAAATTATTAGTCAATCGAATTGAGAACCTAGTTATTCTCTGTCATAACTTTTTCATTGGAAGCAAATCGAGTTTTCTTTGCATTATCATTATGACAAGAGTTCTTGGCGGGAATCTATAAGACAAATATGGTGATCGTTTATTTTACTACATTTTTATTGTTATTAGCGAGTGTACGTTCGTAAAAGTGGTGTTATTATATTTTACGATACAAAGTGTTCAATATATAATTCAGTATAACAATATGCATGAGTTGTAAACAAAATAAATGTTTCGTGAATTTGGTGCAGGAAAGCAAACAGGTTGATTTTTCCTATGGACTCTTTTGAATTTCTATATAATCCGGTTGCCTAAAACACAAGCGTTTTAGTGAAAAAATAATATTACTAATACGAAAAAATAGGCCGCATGAGCTAGATCCCTTTACAATTACTACTCGGAATAATGTCATAAACATATTTTATCTGTGCCATAAACGAGTTGAACTGTCTGGAAAAGCAATACGTTTAAACATATTAAATTACTTGTTCAATTAAAGCAAATTTTATTTACTATTATGACCCTATTATATAACTAGCGTTATACAACCACAATAAAAGGGACAACGCAGTCCCTATAATGAAGAATCCTTATAATTATAATAAAACAAATTACCTATTATTTCAGTTTGTTTGGACGCACTAAACTATAATATCTATTATAATATGAATATCTATTGTTATTGAGTAACAATAGATATTCATATTGTTTTCTCAAATGAATAGAGTAATATAAAGATTAGGTTTATATTTTTTTAAGCTATTGATAAAAATATAAAAAAAATAAACAATTGCAGTGATCCATTTTTCTATTTATATGTATACTAACTGTTCTCTGCCTATATCGCCCGCATATGATATAGTTTGCCGTAGGTAAAAATTTTTTTAAAATCGGTCCAGAAGTACCGGACCCTCAACAATACAAACAAAAAAAACCTTTCTCTTTATCCTGAAGTACCGGAACCTAAACAATACAAACAACTAAAACCTTTCTCTTTATAATATATAGAATAAATAAATGGCACTCATGATATTTATTTATAGAAGACCTCCTTCGATGAGCTAATTCGCTAGAGCCTGCTATTTGTTATATAGCAGGGTTTAAGTTTCACTGGTTCGATGTTTGAATTTCTTTATTATTTTATTAGCATTCATAAAAGGAAAACCAAGGCGCTGAGAAAGGAATTCATTATAGGCTATAATAAATGTTCTAATATCACTTCTATAATTTATTTTACAGGCAATTTAATGCCATATATCAACCTTATTATCACAATAACAGCAACCGATATCCTGTGTCCTCAAGTCAACTCTATTTAGTAGGTTTGGTATGAGAGCGTATCAGACATATACACAGACCTACTTTCGCATGTATATTTAACATGGAAAGATAAATGATTCTCCTTGTCTCTCATTACATTATATAATAAGAAACATTTACCGAAATAAATAGACAAAGAACAATGTAAATTATAATTACTTAATTGACTTTTAAAGACGGCTGTTTTTTTTTCGAGTTTAAATTGAGAAAGAAGGGCTCAGTACTTGGTCCTTTCTTGTTTTTGATTTACATAAATTAATTATTAATGACGATGTGAACAATTCTATCGCTAAAGTAGTACATTGGTTTAATGTAAATAAAACAAAATGCTTAAAATTTGTACTACCTAATGTTAAAAAGTAGATATAAATGTTAATATAAAAGATAAAAACATTGGCCTTGTGGATACCACAGTATTTTTAGGAACGACATTAGATTCTAAACTACAGTGGGGCCCACATATTGATAAAATGTCGAGTAGACTTAACTCTGCAGCATATGCCGTAATGAAAATACGTAGGTTAACTGACATAGATACTGCCAGATTAGTATACTTCAGTTACTTTCATAGTGTTATGTCGTACGGAATCTTATTGTGGGGAAATGCTGCCGACATACAAACAATTTTCGTGCTTTAGAAAAGAGTAATCAGATCAATTTATAATCTTACGATTAGGGACTCTTTAAGGGAGAAATTTAAGGAAATAGACATAATGACTATTGCTTCTCAATACATATACGAGAACTTAAAGTACGTTAGTAAAAATATTAGTTTGTTTTCTATAAAAAGTGTTGTACACAATTTTAATACAAGAAATAAAAATAAATTAACGGTGCCTGTCACTAGACTCCAAAAAGTTAATAACTCATTCAAGGGTCTTTGTGTGCGCTTCTATAATAAGGTCCCAAGCAAAATACAACAATTAGATATCATGCAATTTAAATCTACTATTAAAAAAGCTTATTATAAAGTATCCGATTATATAACAGATAAGAACGCTTGGACTTGAGATGATCCAGCAACTGGATAGGTGATTACTTCTAAACTCATTATCTTGTTTCCATTATTATTAAATGATTATGTTATCATTATAAGACCATCATTTTTTTTCTCTCTGTTTATAATGTATTGATCTGGTAATGACATGGTTATATGTACAAATTGTGCGGAACATTCGCGTGAGAGTGCGACTAGCTTCTAGACGGTTTTTCTATTTTTCCTGAAATCCTTTTACTAGAAAATATGATGTAAAAGTTACACATATTGTCGAACAAACTATTTACCACTTGTTTTTATATTATCACGACTTTGTGTTACAATACCTTCACATTTTATTAACCTGAGCATATTTTATTACACTTTAAAAAATAACGATATCACTGTGTACCTAAGTAGGTACAAATATGAAAACATGTATTCACGAATGATATATGCACAAATATATTAGTAAATCTATTGCAGGAGCTCATAAAAGAGTACAAAAGATCGTTTCACATAATATTTTACTCGATTTTATAGATATTGTTTGCCACAACAATCGATCATAACCGACATTGCTGTAGATTACAGAATGCTAAGTCGGAGACGTTGAGTGCTTGTGTAATAGCGTTTTGTTTGTCTGGATCTATATCACGTACTTGGTACTAATTTAACATAAAGGTTATGATATTTTCAAAATAAATATGTCTAACAATTTGTAACTTTAAACATCGGTCATTTTGCAATTTCACATTTTTTTGCAGGTCTTTGAGTACATATCTTTTCATTTTTTACTAATTTTTGTATGTCATTGATAAACTCCGAAACTAGTGAATCAATTATCTATAATTTGGCCTAACTTAAAAGATAGGATTACCTAGTGTTTTTTTTTATAATTGGATGTATTAGCTTGTATAGCTAATACAGGTACACTACTTTATTCCCAAGGAACTGTGAACTAGATTTCACAATTTAATAGTACTGCATTAAAACAACCAATTGCATAATTTGAGTTACTTATCCACATCTTTTACCAGTACATTTATTTATATAACGAAAAAACACGTTAATGCTTCACATATTCGTATAACTATGTAAACTAGATAATCGTTTCACAAAATTACCCATCTCGATTGCACCGCGTTATATGCGAACGGCCACAGTAGATACGACGTTTTCGCATTACTATTGTATAATCAAACTAGCTAAACGACGCGGCTTCACAGGGATAAAATTTACTTATAGTAAGCGGTCAGTCCTTCTGATTTTCACTGACATCTTTAAAAATTATCCAAATTTGTGTACAAAGAGATTTTTTGTTATTCGTTGTTTAATTTACTGTTCATTTTCAATATTCTTTTGCTCTTTTTATTACTAGGTTAAACCAAAGCGTACTTTAAAAACTGCCTCATTGAGACAATAATTCTTTGATGAAAACCACATGAAATCCGTTCTGTGGTTTAGTTCATTGCGTTCAGTCAAACAGACAGACGGTGGAGAATTGGATTTATATTAAGTAAAAATGAATATCTAACATAAAAATTTTATACCAACCTTTATTGCTCACCGACCAAAGATTACTCGTTGGACTACCCCTTTTCGGTCTATTATCTCTGAATATCAGGATGTCAGGAACTTTGTTCAGCTGCCTGTCCCTCGGAACTACATCTGGTGCTCTATCTACGTTCACTCTAACGAATTCCCCCTTCAAAACCTTAGATTGATTGTCTTTAGTCGCTAAAGGAGGCGGTGGTGGCGCCCTAGTTTTCTTAAACAGTCTTTTCCTCTCCGGCTTAGCTGGAACATCTTTGTCTGTATAAATAATGCTATCTATTTCCCCGACATCATTACCTTCGGTTCTGATACCGATCAAACTCATTGGTTGATCGAAACGAGATCCTAAACCTTTTTGCTGAACAGATATATGCGTTATTCCATCGTTATCAGTTGTTTGCATCAAATCATACTCTCTACCTTTATCGTAAAGACTGTAATCGTCAACGCTGTTCTTCCTATTTTTATTGAACAGCTCGTAGTTCTTCTTCTTGGAGAAAAGACTTTCGCTGCTCGCGTAATTGTTAGTGTTGTTTGTAAGACGGTTACGCATTTTGAAATATTTATACGTGAAGTATATTCTCTTGAAGTCTTGCTCGTTCTCAAATTTCAAAGCTATCGCTTCTTTGATCATGTTTTTGGTTACGTAGAAGACTAGAGTGTTGTCACAATTCGGATAGTGTTCGATGTTGACACAATTGGATATGTCGTCTATGGCTATATTCTCACATTTGCTCGGTTGGATTTCTGTGAAATCTTTAATGAGTTTCTGTTTTACTTCTTCTGTGTTATCCTCTTTCGTGAGGAGTTGGAGTTGATCTTTCTCGTTGAAGCCAACGATGATGTTGAAACTAGTGAGGATTGGTTTGGTGATCGTCATGATGTCCAACTGCTGATTGGTGTTGTGGAGCTTCTGTCGGGCCACAATGGAGGCTAGGCCTCCACTGCGGGCCTTCTTCACAGTCATCTTTAATCTGTAACAATACATGATAATAGTGAGCATTGAATTCTTTTCTTTCTACATAGTTTTTAGAACTTTAAAAATTAATAAGTCCGCAACTCGTTCGCTACAAAAAATTATAAATTATTAAAATACTTAGTTATATTTTTAAACTATATGTTGCTTTTTAAAAGTATAATAAAAAATTATATCATCCAATATTGGATGTTTATTGAAAATAAAAACATCAAGCTGTTATTTTTGTGTCAAATAAAAAGATCGTAAACATTTTTAAGATTTTAATTACACGATAACTGTAAATAACGGTATATGTAAAGTCAAACACCAAGTTCACACGAATAAAACTATAACAGTTAATATAATTGAAAACCTTTCGGTCAATCGATATTTCAAATCGATTTGAATCGATTAGGTAAACTATTCGTAAACGCTGATAAAATAAATTGCTATCAGTATTGCATTCCGAGACAGATTGTTAGTATCTTATAATGAATAAAGACAATTAATTAACGTGATAAATTGATAGTATTAAGAGGTACAATAGGTGGGCTTATCGCTAAAGAGCAAATTCTTCTAGGCAACCGTAGGTTAGACAGCACTATTTGGGACGTATGAACAGTAGATGGTGTCTTACATCTACAGGAAAGATTTGATCGTTACTTAGTTTTTATTTTGCATTGATTAGATTAGAAACCACTTGACCGATTTAAAAAAATCCTTGAGGAAGTTACATCATAGACAGATGACATAGGCTGTAATTTACCCGAGCTAAATCACGGAAAATCAAGTCAAGTATTCAATAAATTTCTTGCTAATAAAACATGTCATTAATTCAATTATGTTATAAAATAAAAAACAAGTGGTTAATATGTGAACAACGTTGCCAAAGTTCAATTTGAGGGTGTGCTTCAATAAGAAACAACTTTTGTACGCAATTGGGTTTATCCGGTAGCTGACAAATTAAATACACCATAAAGTTATATAATTCCAAAAGAAAACAGATGATAACGAGATCTAAAAAGGTATAACGCCATCTTACGATTTTAATTCCAAATAATTTACAGTCGTTTTACAATGTGACTGCATAAAAACAAAAAAAGACCAATCATTGAAACCAATCACAACAAAAAGCACCAATCCAATCACAAATTGAACGTCAAAACTATTTTTAATTATTTTATTAACTCGCAGCTTTTATAATTACCTTTGATAAAATGCACAACATCACATCTTGGTCAGATACCAATCAAAAACTTTGCTGTTCAGTAATAACATCAGCCTCGAACTCGACGTCATGCACAGCACTAACAGCATAGAGTTTCAACCAAATAAAACCTTAAATACCTTTTGAAGTAGAGGTATTATTTGATTGAACTTATGCTGAGACAGCGCGACTGGACGTTTGTATTTTCGTGTTATCGAAGAAATTTAAGAAATTGGACAGTGCGGTTTTCTCGTTATCACTCTTTGTTTGGATTGAATCCTTTTGTTCGTTTGAACTTACTGATCTTTGGTTTATGCATACGCTTTGATTTATAAAATAATGAAAGTCGAATGTGAGATCGCTGTGTAACATTGTTTTTGGGCTATTTAATTGTGTCAAAACACAACACTGTTTAGGAGAACGGCTCGATAAAACGCGTTATCGATCGATTCAGGCTCATTTTTTTGCTTTCACTGTGGGTTATTTTTAATGAGCTCCATTTACCACGTGAGATTTGGAATTGCTACGTATTAAGGAGATAATTATTCATGATAAAAATACTTCAAAACCATTTCTTGCAAATTATAACAGAATACAGAAATATGAGCTTAAGGTAAGGGTCTATACCCGTAGAAAAGTTCACTTTTTAAACGATCGTCTTCATAAATTACAACGCGAATTTAATTTTAAACCTGTGCCTGATACGTTATTTCACAATAAGTATTGGGTTTTTCAGCAAGACTCGGCGCCATCCCATAAGGCAAAAAGCACCCAAGCTTGGTTGAGGGAGAATGTGCTAGCCTTAATCGCGGCGGACGAGTGAACCTTCGTCCTGCCCCGACCTCAAGCCGCTGGGTTATTCTTTATGGACTGAATTAGAACTCAGGGCATGCTGAAAGCCCCACCCAAACTTGGAGTCACTGAAGTGAACCCTTGTTCGAGAAGCAAAACGAATTATGCTAGAAAAGATTCATGCCGCCATTGATGACCGGCCAAATCGTCTAAGGGCCTGTAAATAAAATATATGCCTATATTTTTTTGTTGATTCTTATCTATTTAATGGTTACTGAATTTTTTGAAATATATGTTAATTATTAAAAAAGTTACGCAACATTCGTCTCAAAACTTATGAACACACGAGGTAGACAGTATATATAATTCATGCATATTTACTATTAGCACGTTACTTTCGCTCTTTCTTTCCATCCTTTCGCAAGACCATCTTTGCCTAGCTATATAGTATTAGAATCATAATTGTTATCTTATTTACGTGTAAATAAATGGTAAGTATATCTAGCTAACTCACACCATTTTAAAATCACTACTTTTGGATATAATTAATGACATCTTTAACAGATTATTAACATCTCCACTGCTGGGGAATATCTTTCCATTCTAAGATATTCCCCAGCAGTGGAGATGTTAATGTGTTGAAAATTTTGGTCACCCATCTTATAACGGGCCCTTGCCAAATTTAATAACAACTTTATCTCAGACCGGGCGCGCCTACCACTGCACCATCGACCTTCTCGTTTATTTTAATTTACTTACATTCAATATAAACACCCACATATGGAACACAAAGTTTACACTAAATTGCTCGAGGATAAGATTCAATGGAACCTGATGCTTCCCCGGTGTATCTAGGAACTGTATTATATTTTATTCTCACAAGCAAATTATTGAAATAATTTAACTATCATCACACAGTACAATAATTTGATAGTTTTGAGTAACTAATTTACATAAACACCTTCAATAACTAGAACGAATTAACAAAAAAATAAAAAGATAAGACAAAAAATAGATAAAAAATCTAATTCAATAAAATCTATTAACACAGCGAAATTACATAAATACGATTCACTGGAAAATCTGATAGAACAGAAAATGAAATAAGAAGATGCCAATCTGTTGGCTTAAAATTTAACTGACTAATCTGGTAATGTCATCACAATTATGCTAGAGAAAGCTCGCGGGCGTAATACTAAAACGCAATTAAAACAATAAGATTTTGTACCGTGCGACATCTAAGCAAGAACTCCGTGCTTCCTTGAAGAGATGAGTAATTAATACGCTGGTGGGCTAAACTCATAAGAGATAGCGATTTTAGAGCATCATTCTCTTTTATATTGGCTATGCCAGTATTTCAAACACTACGGGTCGCGACCCTGAGCGATTCACTATGATATATATATTTATGCTTTTTTACTTTAAAACCGCTAAGACAGCTTTTAGCTTGCTAACCACTGTGCTATAGAGGTACACACAGAAGCAGAATAAAGAATGTTTTCGATAGCTTGAATAGTTAAGAAATAAATTTCTGCTTATCGGAAATGGAAAAGTCAACAGTGATATTATTGAATATAATAATTTTAGTTCTGGTAATCAAAATATGAATTACCGATACTTTTATGCTTATAAAATTTATAACATTTGTTAAATTAATTACAAAAAAAAATAATATTTTATACTCGTTGTCACGTGACCGCAAACAGCCCTCTCCTCATATCAGACCTTATAAACAAATAATAGAGAAGTTTTACAGAAGCGTGATGTCTTAGCGTCACCATGACAGAAGATGGAGTTTTCATGGGAAATTAAAAAATGATTTTAGTTTTTAATTTCACTTATTATATAAATAATTATATACATATTATATAAAAATAAATATTAAAAGATATAAATTTTTAGATTTATTTCATCTATGTAGGTACAAAAAGAAAATATCAAAAAAAAAGACGTCTACACCCTTATTATACTGTAGAAAGCTGGCCAGGGATATGTTCAATATTTTTCGACTAATTAAAGTGATATCTTTATTCAAGTTACAAGCCATTGGATAAAGGACCACTCTTTGTAACACTTATATTATAGAGACGAAAACGGTGTATTTTACATATTATTGAATATACAAAACTTATTCATTTTATATGAAGAGAGAGAAAGATACTTCTAGTAAAAAGTATACTAATTCAATTTCTTTAGTTGTACTGTTCATTGATCAGCCTATTGACATCCTCACTGCTGGGCCACCGCCCTTCCTAAGCGTTGAAAAAATGTACTCACACTCCCACTGCTACACCATATATTTGTTCAATTTATTTATATCTTTACGCCGTATCCCTTACAGGGTAGGCAGAGAGGACCGAACATTACAATGAACGGTCCTTACATACATCTATCGCATCATCCACTTTCATTACTATTTTCATACATACTCGCCGATTTTTATGGCTTCTGACATCACCTTTTAATAGCACGTGATTATTTGATTTTGAAAGGTGTGTAATGCCTCGGCTTCTGCATTCTTTCGCTTTCGCGTTGTATATAAAGTTTGTCTTTCATTTGTTCTTTCTACATACTGAACCAACGGAGCATGTTTTTATTTTGGACCGCTGTCCACTCATCGTTTAAACCAATCTAACACATCTTAAACAATAGGCATGAGAGCACGCTTTACATAATATTCAGTGCATTTCCGCGCACGCGCAACTAGGTGGACTGACGAAACTACGTTATTTTAAATAAAATAATCGACCGTTTGTTACAAAGATTTGGCGACTTATAGGATAGGCAATATATATGAATATTAAGAAATGTGTGAATGAATATTTTTTTACCAGGAGTTTGCAGTTGACGTACATTCTAAAGCAAAGAAGAAAATAATACATTTTAGCCATCCATCGTATCGTTCATTACTAAAGTTTCGCAGGACAAATATCAACTCTGCGCCATCAAGCTCCTCAATTTTTGATCTTTTCAATTAAATTTTACTTAGAAAAAGCAAAAGAAACTCTAAATTGTTG